CATGCATAACCTGTTACCCCCACCCCCGTGTTGCCCACCCACAAAGTCCCAATCAAGACCCTCTGGGCCCCCCAGGCCTCCCTCCCAGAGGTCCCAGCTGCCCCCCATCTGCCCCACAACTCACCAGCGTCATTCAGCCACTTCTCCAGCAGCGGCTTGAGCTTGCACATGTTCTTGAAGCTGAGGTTCAGGGCCTCGAAGCGGGAGATGGTCGTCTGGCTGAAGTCGTTGCCATAGAGTTTCCCCATGGCCAGCCCTACGTCGCCCTGCGGGGCGGGGGGTCACAGTCAGCAGCAGGGCAAGAGAGAACCCAGGAGTCCTGGCACCCAGCCCTCCCACTCTAACCACTAGGCCCACTGCCCTCCCAGAGTCAGGAGAGGACCCAGCAGTCCGACTCCCAGCCCCCCTGCTCTAACCACTAGACCCCACTGCCTTCCCAGAGGAGGGAGAGAACCCAGAAGTCTGGCTCCCAGCCCCCCCATTCTAACCATTAGGCCCCCATCCCAGAGCCAGGCGAGGACCCAGGCGTCTGGCTCCCCATCCCCCAGCAGTGTAGATAAATTTCTGATAATTTTCATATGACTTTACATTGTGCCTCTTCATATAACCTTGTGGTGGGTCTACCCACGTGGGACCTCTGTTTTCATGGGACTTTGTATCAAAGCCTCATTTAGAAACTTTGCATTGCCCTTGGTAGAATATTATAGCCCCTAAGGATAGAATAAGATAGAAGAAAAATGTCTGTTTGCTAAGAGTAGAACAAGAGCTCCCCCCCCCCCACTCTTAATCAATTGCCCTGTTGAATGAATGAGGTGTGGATGAGCAAGGCATGGAAGGCAGCACCTCCAGACAGCCTCAACTGTTGGAGAGGGGCTGGGAGCCAGACCCAAGGACAATAAAACGTGTCAAGTGGACTCATTAAAGACAAGCAGACATACCGACGGCCTCGGGGGGTTAGAAGCCAGCACCTTCTTTTGGAAACCCCCTCTCTGCAGCATTGGGACAACACTCAAAAAAAAAAAAAAAAAAATTCTGTTTTCTTAAAAAAAAAAAAGGGCCCCCCCCCCCCCCCACTCTTAATCAATTGCCCTGTTGAATGAATGAGGTGTGGATGAGCAAGGCATGGAAGGCAGCACCTCCAGACAGCCTCAACTGTTGGAGAGGGGCTGGGAGCCAGACCCAAGGACAATAAAACGTGTCAAGTGGACTCATTAAAGACAAGCAGACATACCGACGGCCTCGGGGGTTAGAAGCAAGCACCTTCTTTTTGGAAACTCCCTCTTTGCAGCATTGGG